TGCAGTAATATTTAGAACACTTTCATGTGCAATAAAGTTACCAGAGTTATGTTAGGGCTCTTTTATTTTAGAAATACATGCTAAGAAATTATGTATTCAATGACATGATACCTGGAATTATAAATTTAAAAATCACGACATACATGATGTTACACAAGCATAAAAATGTGCATGATATGATAAATGATCTAACATAGGGGTAGGATCCAACAGTCATTCCGTTTGTATAAACACTTGAAAATAGTCATCACAAAAGTAGAATATATTCTTGCATCAGTAATTTTTTAAAAATATTTATTTATTTGGCTGCATAGGGTGTTAGTTGTGGCATGTAGGATTTTTCGTTTCTGCACCCGGGCTCCTCTGTAGTTGTGGCACGCGGGCTTAGTTGCCCCACGGCATATGGGGTCTTTGTTCCCTGACCAGTGATCCAACCCAGGTCCCCTGCATTGGAAGGCGGATTTTTAAACATTGGACCACTAGGAAAGTCCCTTGCAACAGCAATTTTAATGTTGAGGATGAATTAAAAATGGCAGGAGGAAACATTTCAGGGGTGTGCACAAGTATCAAAATGTCAAAATGTACATTTCAAATACTTGTAATTTATTCTAAGTCAATTATACACCCATGAAATGACTCATAAAACAAATATGCAAAAGCTGTCACTTTATAATCATTCTACTATGGTAACTACAATCTTAAAATTATTTGCTGCTGCTGAACCTGTAAGGTGGAAAAAGTATACAATGGTGGCCTACTGGCAATGCTTCCCAACTCCATGTTCGGTGACATTATGTTGGCAATTTGACATTGGCTATGGTGTGAAATTGGCAAACACTACAAAACCGGGCTTAATTTACTGTGTAATTGAATGTTTGGACTTAGGCCTGAGGTAGCATATGTTAATGCAGATTTATCTTAAACATGTATAATGTATGTGGTCATTATATCATGCATAGTAAAAAAAATTGAAGAAAACCTGAGAAACTATTCCCAATTACAATTACATTCAGAAAAAATTCACTCACATTATTGGTGAATGAGTGAAATCTCACAGATGTCTTTGTTGTTTCCCTGCTCTCCTATTTGTCAAAAAAAAGAGAAAATAGGCAAACCTCACAAAATAAAAGTAGGCAAAAAATAGGAATAGAAATTTAACCAGACAGGACACAACTAAGTCCTGGTTAGGACTTAGTTTGCATGATATGAAGATAAAATGCTAAGATGCCTAGATGTTTCAACCAACACCTGTAATATAATAGATACACTTTGAATGAGTTAATGTGAAAAATTATATGTAAATATAATTTCTATACATTTTGAAGTATGGATTTTTGGTTATACTTCAAGTTTGTTTGCTAAAAATATTTTTAATAACAATAAACATATGTGAAAATGAGGGCTGAACACTCCATTGTCTTCAAGAAAGAAGGGTGAAGTTGGAGAGCTGAAAGCAGAGGTGGTTTTTGATCTTCTGTTCACTCGCTGTTAATTGGGAAGAAGGACTTTATTATGGATCTCAAACTCTTCGTCTGTGAAGGAATTATCTTTCTGCTTCCTCTGTTCATGGGTATGAAGTGAGCATTAAATGCAATAATATATGTGAATGAATAAAGAGCATTTTTTGAGAAAAAAAAAGAAACTTCAACATCAAGAATCCTGAGGGATGGGGCTTCCCTGGTGGTGCAGTGGTTAAGAATCCGCCTGCCAATGCAGGGACACGGGTCCGAGCCCTGGTCTGGGAAGATCCCACATGCAGTAGAGCAACTAAACCTGTGCACCACAACTACTGAGCCTGCACTCTACAGCCTGCGTGCCACAACTACTGAAGCCCACATGCCTATAGCCCGCACTCCACAACAAGAGAAGCCACCACAATAATAAGCCCGCACACTACAACAAAGAGTAGACCCTGCTCGCCGCAACTAGAGAAAGCCCGGGCACAGCAATGGAAGACCAACGCAGCCAAAAACTTAATTAATTAATTTTAAAAGAAAAAGTATCCTGAGAGAAATGCAATTAAAATCATAATGATTTCATAGTGCCATTTTACAGTCTTCATTGGAGATGTCTGCCTGCATTAACACTCAGCTTTTAAGTTAGGTTGGTCAAGTGTGGGTCCCAAAGAAGGGTGGGCAAGTTCTTGCTGATTAACAATCATTGTTTCGTCGGTTTCCTAGTTTGAAATTGTCCGTGGTGGCAGTATTTGTATCAGGCAAACTGGAAAATACTACAAACCAGGACTTCAGTATATTATTCAAAGTCAAGATTTAAGAATATATGAATAGGGCTTCCCTGGTGGTGCAGTGGTTGGGAGTCCATCTGCTGATGCAGGGGACACAGGTTCATACCACGGTCTGGAAAGATCCCACATGCCGCAGAGTGGCTGGGCCCATGAGCCATGGCCACTGAGCCTGCGCATCCGGAGCCTGTGCTCCACAATGGGAGAGGCCACAACAGTGAGAGGCCCGTATACTGCAGAAAAAAAAAAGAATATGTGAACAATGCAGATTAAATTTAAGGTATATACATGGTTTTTGTGGTAATTACATTGTATGTAGCATGCAAAAAATTGAGGATAAAAATAAGCTATTTATTTGTTAATGAAAAGAAAAATAGTCAAAAGATATGAACAGACATTTTACCAAGAAGATATACAAATGGAAAATAATGCAATTAAAACTACTGGTTGCAAAAAAAAAAAAAAAAAACTACTGGTTGCTTAAATTCAAAATTTAAGGAAATTCAAAAGACCGACCATACCAGTATTGGCAAGAATGTGGAAGCATTTCGCATGCTCCTGGTGGGTATGTAAAAGCAAACAACAATTTCAGGTCACAGTTTGGCAGTTTCATAAGTTAACCATTCACCTATTCGATGAGTCAGGCATTACACCCTGAGTTACTAACACAAGGCAAGTGAAAATACATACATACATATAGAATTGCACACAAATGTTCTAACACCTTTATTTACAATAGCCAAAACTGGAAATAACCCAAATAACCATAACCAGACAAATGGATAAACAAATACTATAATTATAGGAAAGAAACTACTCAGCAATAAAAAAAATGAACTGCTTATATACGGATCACTGAAGAATCTCAAAATATTTATTAATCATGAATGAAACCAGGAAAAAAAAGTAAACATTTCATTAATAAAATCATATAAAATTCTAGAAAATACAAACTAATCTACTATAAATAAAAGTAAATGAATGGTGATCTGTGGGTGGGGGAGAGGAAGGACATTATAAAATGGCATGAGGTAAACTGGAGATGATAGACATGTTCATTATCATGATTATGATGAGACTTTGTGGTTCTATATGTAAAAATTTATACACTTCAAATAGATACAGTATATCACATGTCAACTATACCTGAATAAAAATTCACAAAATTGTTCAAAAGAAAAATCTAGATCTCTCACTTTTTTCAAAAACTCAGGTCTGGGGAATTTCCCTGCCAGGTCCAGTGGTTCACTGCCATGGCCTGGGTTCAATCCCTGGTCAGGGAACTAAGATCCCAAAAGTTGCATGGCACAGCCAAAAAACAAAAACTAACAAACAAACAAAAATCAGGCCTAGCAATCCTATATTGCCTCACTTTTCTGATGACCTTGGAGGAACAGCCTTGCTTTAGTGGTAGCAACTACTGATGAGTAATAGATTCCTTCCCACCTGAGTTAACAGGAATGCTGGCTGGTCACAGAGCCACACTGTGGACTAAAGCAGTGGTCCCCAACCTTTTTGGCATCAGGGACCGGTTTCGTGGAAGACAATTTTTCAACATACAGGGGAGGGGGTGTGGGGTGTGATAGTTCAGGAGGTAACATGAGCAATGGGGAGCAGCAGATGAAGCTTCACTCGCTCGCCCGCCACTCAGCTCCTGATGTGCGACCCACTTCCTAACAGGCTGCGAATCAGTGCCTGCTGGTCCAGAGCCAGTGGGTTAGGGAACCCTGGACTAAGGGATTTCCTTTCTCTGTTTCTCTGCCTCTGTAGCAATGGCCTTTAGGTGAACATCCCAGAGAGGCTATAGGAATCCAGAAAAACAATAACTTATTTTCTTTCACAAGGACCTCAGCTACAAAAGATACACTTGCCTGGAGGTTGTGAGAATTTCTGGTCATCTGTGCCCACTGATACTGCACAGTCAGAGTCAATGGAGCATTTGTTGATGCAATTTTAGAAGGGGCACACTCCATCTACTCCACTGCAGTCTCCTCCACTCCAGGGTTTCTTTACCGAGATGGTTTCCCCTGGCCCTAGTCTTACAGTGGCATTATCTAGTGAACTCTGGGGATCACAGCATGTGGTTCTTTTGCAGGATAACTGCTGAGCATTATGTGATATTTACTGTGAATAAGAAAAAAAATTTGTGTTGTTATCAGAAGCACTGAAGGCTGTCATAACTTCCTGGCTCCTCAGGGTGTTTTCTGAGTCCACAAAAAATCCTGATACCCAGTCCACAAATTAGGACCCTAAAACCCTGCAGTCTTTTCTAGGAGACCCTGGGCAACAATATATTTATCTTAGACCAAAACCAGAAAGAAAGATATATATATATATATATATATATATATATATAGTGTGTGTGTGTGTGTGTGTTTGTGTGTGTGTGTGTGTGTGTGTGTGTGTGTGTGTGTGTGTGGTACACGGGCCTCTCACCACTGTGGCCTCTCCCATTGTGAAGCACAGGCTCCAGACACGCAGGCTCAGCGGCCATGGCTCGTGGGCCTAGCTGCTCCGTGGCATGTGGGATCCTCCCGGACAAGGGCACGAACCCGAGTCACCTGCATCGGCAGGCGGACTGTCAACCACTGCACCACCAGGGAAGCCCAAGAGCTATATTCTTAATCATACTGACATGTGAGGCACACAAAGCATGGGACCCCCCTCCCACCATGAGAGCTGTGCAGTCCTTAATGCTGGTAGAGCCCAGTTGTTTTCAGATCACCTCACACAGTGAATGGAACTCCAACACCAAAGATGGCTTAAACATTAATGCCTTTATTATTGCAAAATGCAGAGCAATAGGAGGCTTGCAATTCCCAGCTTTGTGACTCAGAGGCTGGGAAAATCCAAAAGAAATGTCACCATAAATAAACATGTCCCTGAAAATGCAGTCCTTCCTGGCAAGTCACAAATAGAACTCAGACTGGGTCCACTGGGCCCAAACTGGATCGGGTCCAGGCCCTACTTTGGAAATGGGAAGGGAATGAGGATCCCACAAGAGCTAAGACTACTCATTACTTACCCCGCAAACAGGAATGGGACAGAAGTCAACTTCCCTGAACATGTTGGGAGATAATTTTGCACATTGTGTGAACCTGCTGGATAACACAGGTGAAATGAATTCTGTCATACTGGCAGTGACATAAAGCTAGAAAGAGCCTGGCAGGAAATAAAGTATAACACAGCTCCTTAAGGATTCCTACATAACACTCCCCACTGCAGATTTGTGGATGTATGGGCTTTAATTCAGGTAAATGGCTCCCTCAAAACTTATCTCCTCCACTGTAATTACACTAGAAGGAAACTGCACATCCCAGCTATCTATGGCCCTTCACTAGTGTGAAGTCTCTCGTGTTGAATGAGGTTATATTTGCAGCTGAAAATTTTTTCCAACATTCACTGCACTCAGGACCTTTTTCCAGTGTGAACTCTCTGATGCTGGATGAGGCTGGAACTTTGGCTAAAGGATTTTCCACAGTCCCCACACTCATACGGCCTTTCTCCTGTGTGGACTCTCAGGTGTTTAACGAGGTTAGATTTGCAGCTAAACGATTTCCCACATTCATTGCACTCAATAGGCCTTTCTCCAGTGTGAACTCTCCAGTGGTTCTTGAGGTTGGAACTATGGCTAAATGATTTTCCACAGTCCCCACACTCATAGGGCCTTTCTCCTGTGTGGACTTTCCGATGTGAACTAAAGCTGGAGCTTTGCTTAAAGGATTTCCCACATTTACTGCACTCATAAGGCCTTTCTCCAGTATGAAGTCTCCTGTGGTGAATGAGGCTGGAGCTTCGGCTAAAGGATTTCCCACATTCACCGCACTGATGAGGCCGTTCTCCAGTGTGAACTCTCCGGTGGTAAATGAGGCTAAAGTTTTGGCTAAAGGATTTCCCACATTCACTGCACTCATAAGGCCTTTCTCCAGTGTGAACTCTCTGATGTTGAATGAGGTTAGATCTTTGACTAAAAGACTTCCCACATTCCCTGCACTCATAAGGTTTTTCTCCTGTGTGAACTTTCCTATGGCTATTGAGGCTATAGCTCTGGCTAAAGGATTTCCCACATTCACTGCACTCATAAGGCCTTTCTCCAGTGTGAACTCTCTGATGTATAATGAAGCTGGAAAGGTAGGTAAAGAATTTTCCACATTCATGGCATTCGTAAGGCCTTTCTCCAGTGTGGACTTTCTGGTGCTGAATGAGGTTACATCTTCGGGTACAGGCTTTTCCACATTTGCTGCACTCGTAAAGCCCTTCTCTAGTGAGGACTCCTTGGTCCTCAACAAGTGTGTCTGTGCAGTTGAGGGCTTTTTTGCCTTCTCCCCAGTTCTGATGCTTTTTTCCACTGTGAAAGACAGCCTCACACTCATTACTGTTGTTTGGCTTCTCCTCAGTGTGAATGACCTGTTGATGGAAAAATCCCATGCTGGCTAAGAAGTCCTTCGCAATCTCCATACAGATAATGGATTTCCCTGACAAGTGGGTTGTGCAACTCTTTACATACAAGTCTTGGTCTGCAGAACTTCTGATGGGTATCTTTCCAATGTGCTGCCCCTGGTACTGCTGAAGGTTGGCAGTGAAATAAAATTGTTTCCCATACGTGTATGGTTTCTGCCCAAGATGCATTCCCTGGTGCTCAGGCAAGTGCAAAATATCTCTCAAGATTGGGCCCCACATCTCAAAGGGCTGGGCCTTCTGGGGAGATGAAATTGCTTTAAGAGTCCTGATCTGTGACACTCCTTCTACAGAAATGCTCTGTTCAGGAGATGTTTCCTTATCTTCCACTTCATGCCAACAGCCTGAAAAAGTGATGGTGAAGTACACGTTAACCATATTGAGAGGGGGCAAAACAATCACAAATGTAAATTGATGCATCAAAGAATCAGTCCATGAAACTGTTTTCAGGAAAAGAAAGTTGGGGTCAGCTTGAGGAAGCAGCTGCTGTGCCCCACTGGTTCCCTAAGTTCACAGGATTGTGTGGGCCTCCCCAGGCACAGGACATGAGTAAAGGGTGTGGCCCAGGGAGAAAGGCATGTCCTACAGCTCATTCTTCTGCTAATGGCTTTTAGCAGGATTATATCTGCTGACAACATGGGATGCTGTGCAGAAGTCCAGTCCAGTCCCAGAAAAATCTGACTGGAACAAAGGTAAAAAATGTTTAAGCATAATTAGACACTTGCACACTTTAGGACACTACAAAGTGGGAATGCACTAAGGAGGGAACAGTGTGAGGAATAAGTGAGGTAAGCAGTCCAGAGAGGTGGGGAGTAGCTCTCAGCTGGAGTCAGAATAAAAATGACTAGTAGAAATGACAAGTCAGCAAAGTGTTAAGAATGGAGAAGGGAAAGTAGAAGTGAGGTGTGGCCACTAGCAATGGCACCAAAACACAATTAAACAGGACAGGTTCTTTGTATGATTTTGACAAAGCCCTGAAGTGATGTCCTCTCTCAAATGCCATTCATCTGTGTCAGGCCTGCTCTGAGCCCATCTTGTTGAGAATGGAGTCATGTCCATCCTGTGAAGCAGAGGACATTTTCTGTAGCCTCATCTGAGGATCTGCATGAGACCAAGAGTACCCAATTCCTAAGGGAATGACAGGACAAGTCAGTAGCCAATACTGTCCCAGACAACTCAGCACACAATAGACCACCAGAAAGCTATTTAAATACTACAAAAAAGTTCCTAAGGACAGACAGAGGTAAGAGAGCAGAAAAGTAAGAACCAGCAATGTGTCTTCCCTTCTGGACAACTATACTGGTAGAATCAATCTGATGTAACCCCTCTGCAATGCTAAACTGCTTTAATTTTGATCACTTTCAGCTCTTAGCATGGTAATGGTTTTCATTCTCCAACTCCCCTAACTCTGAGCCCTGGGGCAGGCACCATGTACGTGTTCCTGGAGAAGCTTCTAGGAGCCAGGTTGGGCAATAAGGCATCTGTCCTCCAAATATCAGAAATCTGTGCTCTTTTTGCTGCTTCTAATGATGGTAGTGCTACAGAGTTGGGCAGCCATTGTTGGAAACCACACTACCAATGTTGCAAAGGCCCTCCCCTCACTAGCTGAAGCAATTTCACAGGGGATTTAAAGGGCAGGCGTCTATTCTGTCCACCCCCCTCACATCATTTTTCTCTTAGTCCCATTTTGATAGGCAGAAATTCAAGGACTAAGGCACTCAAAATCAATCATATATGCAGGGGAATTTACAAAGTCACCATGCATATCTGGGTAAGAAAAAAATCTGAGTAGACCTTAACTTTATACCTCAGACTGATCTCCAGGTTGGAGACAACCTATAGCCATTAAACAAACAAACAGAAAGACAAACAAACAGATCCCAGCAAACCCTAGGAAGAGGGAGAACTGAATCTCAAGTTACCACAATGTAAGACACAAACACCCATTTTTCAACAACAAAAAAAAATCATGGGACATACAAACCAACAGTTTATCCCTCCACCCCCTTTCACCCTTGTTAAAATATCGTTGAAGCTAAAAGGGTATAAATTCAAATAATGTGTTATAATTTTAGCATGGTAAATGTAATTTCCATGGTAACTACAAAGAAAAAAATAGCTATAGAAAGTACACAAAGGAAACGACAAAAAATGTAAACATTTTACTACCAAAACACAAGTGGAACACAAAAAACAGTAATGAGGAAACAAGGGACAAAAGAGACCAAAAGACATGTAGAAAACAAATAGCAAAATGACAGAAGTAATTCCCCCCTCATTAGTAATTATTCTAAATGTCAATGGAATAAAATTTCTAAGCAAAAGAGAAACTGGCAGAATGGATAAAAGAACATAATCCAACTATATGCTTTCTACAAGACACAACTTGCCAGGATGGTTCAACATAAAAAAATTCAGGGGTTTCCCTGGTGTTCCAGTGGTTAAGAATCCACCTTCCAATGCAGGGGACACGGGTTCGATCCCTGGTCAGGGAACTAAGATCCTACATGTCGCGGGGCAACTAAAGCCCTTAAGCCACAACTACTGAGCCTGCACGCCACAACGAAGCATGCGCCACAATGAAAGATCACATATGCTGCAAGGAAGATCCTGCATGCTGCAACTAAGATCTGATGCAGCCAAAAAATAAATAAATAAATATTTTAAAAACAGATACAAAATTCAGTGTAATATATCACATTAACAGAATGAGGAAAAAATCATACCACCTCAATCAATGCACAAAAACCACATGACAAAATTTAATACCCTTTCATGATAAAATACTCAACAAACTATCAATAGAAGGAAACTAGCTTAACATAATAAAAGCAAAGGATTTAAAATCCATGACAAATATTGTACTCAACGGTAAAAGACTGAAAAGTATTCCTACAATATCAAAAACAAGAAAAGGACACCAGCTTCCACCACTACTATTCAACATAGTGCTGGAAATTCTAGACAGAGCATTAGGCAGGAAAGACAAAAGGCATCCATAGCTCATGAAATTTTAAAGATTCCACCACAAAACTGTTAGAATAAATGAATTCAGCAAAGGAAGAGCATACAAATTAAACAGTTGTGGGAATTCCCTAGTGGTCCAGTAGTTAGGACACAGAGCTTTCACTGCCAAGGTCTGGGTTCACTCCCTGGTCCGGAACTAAGATCCTCCAAGCCAGGCAGTGTGGCAAAAAAAAAAAAAAAAGAATTAAACAGTTGTGTTTTTTTTTTTTCCTCCCAGCAACAGAGACATCAATGGTTTAATGGATGGGGGAGCTTACAAATCTGAAGCAAGGTCCTGACGTGACACCCCACCCTGTACAGCAGACAATGGGCAGGACATGACAACAGTCCTTGCTCCCGGGGGAACAGAAGATTACCAGTTATAGGGGAACTGGCATCAGGTGGGCTCATTAGTTACCAGGGAAACCAGTAGAGAGGCAAACCCCTCACCACCCCTTTGATAAGAATGATCACTAGCTGGGGCCTGGGGCAAGTGGGTAGGAAGGTCAGTCATGTGCATAGGGTATAGATGAAGCAGGAAATGGTCGGGCAGGGGATGTACAGAGAGCAAGAGAACAGCCATCTTGAGTGGCCTGACCATACACTCTACCCCTACACACACTGCACGACCCTTACAATCTTGGTCTACCCTCTTCCGCGATATCCCTGGGGTCAAGTATGTAGGGGGCACTGCAACCAGATACCACAAATACAATACAGACAACAGCAGCCTCAGAGTATCAAGATACCTACTATGCTCAGAAGAGTCATTTGCCAGGATGTGGGCAAATTTTGGAGCCAAGATCTTACAAGGTCAATGGAAAGAGAGTCAATAGTAAGAGTGCCCTGTCCAGTTATAAGGAAGGTAAGGCCACCCCGGGTTTTCACAAACCCAGAGCTACCCCCATGGGGAGGTCCGGATTTTAAAGAAACATTCTGGTGACCTGGCCAATGGTCAGCAGTCGCACTACAGATCTGTCTCCCCATGCTAGGTTGAGTGCCATTAAGGTTGGACCCATTAGATCCTTCCAAACAAAAAAGAGTTAATCCCACTAGTTGGACTTATGTGTCCAGAAGCCAGCCTATTCCATTCCACACAGCATAGCCAAGGGAGGCTCATGGGCAGTCAGCTGTATAGTAACGTTTACCAACGGGGTCCTTCTTTTTTTTTTTCTTTTTTTTAATTTTTGGCTGTGCCATGAAGCATGCGAGATCTTAGTTCAACAGGGCTCCTTCTGAGGTACTGGCATGCGGGACAAAAATATGGTGAGAGTCTTTCTCCCCCATTGTCAGTAGTCCCCAAATAGTCATAGTAGCCAGGTCAATTTTTCATGGAAGTCCAGAGAAGGTTGACAATCGCATCTCACTGGAGACCCAGCAATTAGACTCACTTCACGGTGAGGCCAGTGTTGCTGCTCAGTCGTGGAATAGATTTCCTCCTTCAGGCTAGAGATGAAATTTAAGACATCTAACAGGCACAACACAGGGGAGATTATGATAATTAAGCAAAACACAAGCAGTAACCACATTCTGAGATAACACACCTGCCTGTGGTTTTTCTCCTAGTCTGTAAAACAGTTCAAAAACTCAACTTTCAATAACACAAGAACGTGACTAAAATCATGTATACGATGGCCCCTTAGTTTCACCTTGGATGTCTGAACAAGTTACTCCATTTTGACTTTCAAACACATTCCCTTCCTCAATGGCCAAAGCAGATGTACAACGCATGTCTGAAAGATCACAAATAGGCTGCTCTGATCAGTAAAATTTAAGTTAAGCCAGAATGACTCCCCTATACCTCAACACATGGAGATTTTCCCATCATTTCCCCTTCTGATTGCAAATCTCTCAGTAGAAAACATTGATGACTAAAATATCCGTCCCTCTAGGCTGGGGTGCTGGCTCCTACCCCAGGTTCAGATCATGTCCCTCAGTGCTAGGGCTCCTTTATATTTGCCTAGTTATACAAGGTGGGGGAAAACCAATCAGATCTCATGAACAGGCTCAGAGGAATGTTAATGGGCAAACACTTTATAGGCCATATACTTCTTTCTTTCTTTTTTTTAAATAAATTGATTTATTTATTTTTGGCTATATTGGGTCTTTGTTGCTGCACACGGGCTTTCTCTAGTTGCAGTGAGCAGGGGCTACTCTTCATTGTGGTGCGTGGGCTTCTCATTTGGTGGCTTCTCTTGTTACAGAGCACGGGCTCTAGGCACGTGGGCTTCAGTAGTTGTGGTGCACGTGTTTAGTTGTTGCGTGACATGTGGGATCTTCCTGGTCCAGGGCTCGAACCCATGTCCCCTGCACTGGCAGGTGGATTCTTAACCACTGTGCCACCAGGGAAGCCCTAGACCATATATTTCTTATACCCAATTGTCACACAAGCATTGTACATGTGCTTTTAGTAGCAGACTTAAAGCAAGCAGTGTCACACTTAATGTGACACAGTCACACTGTCACACACTCTGTGGCAATTTCACTAGATAATTTTCTTTCCATCCAGAACATCAGGGCAAAAGTATGGCTAACATAATAACTTTCATAAATACAAACCTCAATTAACAGAACTAGAATTTAATATCCACTAAAACATAGTCTTTTTTCTCCTTGAAATTACCCTCATCTCCACCAAACAGCCAAATCGAAACTAATCTGTTTGTAAAACAAGTGTGGTCAATTGACCACTTAGGCTCCTCCAAACTAGTTGTGGTGGAATTCCTCAGAAGGAGTGTCAGAATGAATTCCCAAAAGGCCTCTCAAGGCCAGGAAAGCCATGCCAAAGGCATGCCACCAGATTATGCCTTGGTGGATTTTTCTCTTCTAGAAGTTCCCAAAATATTGAGATTCCTGCACATGCCAGGAGTCAGCCTTTTCCATTCCCCTGATAAGGCTGTTCAGAACCCAAGAGTCCCCAATTTCTGGAGGCACCAGGCAGGGAGAAAAGAAAAATGTTTCAATTCTACACACAGGTGTAGTTTACCCAATTGCTGTAAGTCATAACTAACTTCAGGGGAAGGGCTTCCCTCCACACGTATGAAGCAAGGTCCTGGATCGACTACCCACCATGTGCGGCAGACGGCAGGCAGGACATGGCGGCAGTTTTCCACAGTTGTATTTCTACACACTAACAATGAACAATCTGAACAGGAAACTAAGAAAAAACTCCACTTATAAAACTATCTACCAAAAGAATAAAATACTTAGAAATAAACTTAACTAAGGAAGTAAGACTTGTACACTAAAAAGTATAAAACACTGCTAAAAAAAAAATTAAAGACAGTAAATGGAAAGACTTCTATGCTCATAAATTGGAAAACTTAATATTGTGAAGATGTCGATATGACCCCCAAGCCATCTACAGACTCAATGCAATCCCTATCAAAATTCTAATGATGTTTTCTGCAGTAATATAAAAATTCATCCTAAAATTCATATGCAATCTCAAATAACAACAAACAGCCAAAACAATCTTGAAAAAGAAGAACAAAGTTGGAGGAGTCACAATTCTAAATTTCAAGTTATCAGTGTGAAGCTACAGTAATCAAAACAGTGTGATACTGGAATCAAGGCAGACATACAGACCAATGGCACAGAATAAAGAGCTCAGAAATAAACTCTCACATATATGGTTAAATGGTTTTCAAAAACGAGGCCAAGACCATTCGACAGGGAAGGACAGGCTTTTCAACACATGATGCTGGGAAAACTGAATACCACACGCATAAGAATGAAATTAGATGGACACCAGGTACATAAATTAACTCAAAATGGATCAAAGATATAAACTTAAGAGCTACAAATATAAAATGCTTCATAGAAAACAGAGGAAAACTTCATGACATTGCATTTGGCAGTGATTCCTTGGAAATGACATCAAAGGCACAAGGAACAAAAGGAAAACAAACTGGACTTCATCAAAATGAAAAACTTTGGTACATCAAACGATGCTAAGAAAATAGTAAAAAGGCAACTTACATAATGGGAGATAATATTTACAAGTCAAATATCTGATAAAAAATTAATATCCAGAATATGTAGAGAATTCCTAAAATTCAAAAACAAAAACATCAAGCAACTTGATTCAAAAGTTGGGAAAAGGGCTTCCCTCGGGGGTCAGTGGTTGAGAGTCCACCTGCCGATGCAGGGGACACGGGTTCGTGCCCTGGTCCGGGAAGAACCCACATGCCGCAGAGCGGCTGCGCCCGTGAGCCATGGCCGCTGAGCCTGCGCGTCCGGAGCCTGTGCTCCGCAACGGGAGAGGCCACAACAGTGAGAGGCCCGCGTACCGCAAAAAAACAAAAAAAATTGGGAAAAGACTTCAACAGACATTACTCCAACAAAGATATACAAAAGGGTAATAA